ATATATGATTTATATACCAAAAAAGTCAACCATAAAAGTATAATGCCGAAAATCTATAGATTAAAATCATGTAATATAAGGTGTATAATATAATATAAATGTATGAAATATATTATGAAATGTGGTTATAAAGTCCATATATGATGCATATACCAAATCGTGTAATATAATGTTGGAAATCAATAAATGTATGAAATATAGTATGAAATATGGTTAGAGTAATTAATGGGAAGAGAGAAAAATAATTAATGGGAAAATAGAGAATAATTAATGGTTAGAGTAATTAAAGGAAAGAGAGAGAATAATTCGGGTATATGCAATATGTGATATGATTTGTAACAAATTGATATATATATATATATATATGTAAGACGAAAATAAATTACCAAAATGCCTTTAATGAAGAGTGCACACAACTTCCATCAGTCGATTTTTCAAGGGTGCATTCACTTTTAATAGTATAGATGTGTATATTATAAATTTGTTCTTATTTTACTTTGTTAACAATTAAATATGTATTCAGTTTGAAGTTATTTTTAAAACAAAAAAATTTATAATGCTTATATATACATAATTCATACGTAATTAAACTATTAGAATAAATTATATATAACATAATTAAATTTCAACTATTTTATAAAGTACAAGTTAAATTAATCACATATGCATTCTAACATATATTTAAACATTTTAGAACTTATTTATGTTTACTTTGGGAAAATTTTGAAATTAAATGCATATAATAATAAATATGTTTTAGATTTAACATAATAGCTAAATTATCATAGTAACATATATTTCAGTTTAATTTTGTTTGAATTTAAAAATTTATAATCATCACTTGCATATTAACAAATTTAGAGAGTATACGATATACCACATAGAATTGAAGCACAGCTACGCGCATATTTTATATTTTAATACTTTATTTATTTTAAACTTTTTTGTACCATTATGTTCATTGACTTGTCTGAGTTTATAGTTAAGTAATAAAATCTATCTAATTTTTTTACTAATAAAATACATGAAAATACNCATCACTTGCATATTAACAAATTTAGAGAGTATACGATATACCACATAGAATTGAAGCACAGCTACGCGCATATTTTATATTTTAATACTTTATTTATTTTAAACTTTTTTGTACCATTATGTTCATTGACTTGTCTGAGTTTATAGTTAAGTAATAAAATCTATCTAATTTTTTTACTAATAAAATACATGAAAATACATCAATTAAATATTTTTAAGTTTTTTTTGACTCTTAAATTGTTTTATTATCCAATCACTTATCTAAATTACTTTTTATAGAATTCTAATACACTTAATTTTAAAATTGTAGACATTCTAATATCCAAATTAGTTATAAGTTGGAATGAAAATTATAGAAGTCGTCAAAATGGATCACATATAAAATCTTAAATTTTCAATTTTTATTTTTAGGATTAAAGTATGTAACTGAGGATAATATTTAAAATTACAATATTTGTTGTACGTTACATTTAAATTTGAAGTACAATGAAGTACAAAAGTCCTTCTGTTTGTTTTTTTTTTTTGTCAATTAATATGTACGTTAAGTATTAAAATATCTAAGACTTAACATTATTATTTTACTGAGGTTCTAGTATATATATATATATATATATATATATATATATATATATATATATATATATTGTTTATAAACAAATATATGAACATATTTACGATTTATTTTTTTTTCCATGATTTCTTTGTTAGTAATTATAAGTTCTGAAAACTTTGGTAGTTCTATTGTTTGGTCATGGAGTAATGTTGATGATCGTTTTGGACTGTATATATAAAAGCATTTACTTTATCTTCTTTTTATTTTGTAACTTAACATTGACCGAAAGCAAATCGAGTTTCGGTAGATTAAACCGTGATATTCGGACCGAAATCGAAATCGGATTTTGCATGCCCAAACTAACATGACGTGGCTTTTAAAGCTCTATTATTGGTCAAATATATTTGGTGATGTGGACAGGGTGAGAGGGTTTTATTTTCCTCTTTTAATAGTAACAAATTTAGGGAGTATACAATAGACCACATAGAATTGAAGCACAGCTACGTGCGTATTTTATATTTTAATACATTATTTATTTAAAACTGTTTTGTACTATTATGTTCATTGACTTGTCTGAGTTTATATTTAAGTAATAAACTCTATCTAATTTTTTTTACTAATAAAATACATGAAAATACATCAATTAAATATTGTTAAATTTTTTTGACTCTTAAATTGTTTTATTATCCAATCTCTTGTCTAAATTACTTTTTAAAGAATTTTAATACACTTAATTTTAAAATTGTAGACATTCTAATATCCAAATTAGTTATAAGTTGGAATGAAAATTATAGAAATCGTCAAAATGGATCACAGATAAAATTTTAAATATTAAATTTTTATTTTTAGGATTAAAGTATATAAACTGAGGATAATATTTAAAATTACAATATTAGTTGTACGTTACATTTAAATTTGAAGTACAATGAAGTACAAAAGTCCTTCTGTTTGTTTTTTTTTTGGTAAATTAATATGTACGTTAAGTATTATTAACATTATTATGTTACTGACGTTCTATTATATATATATATATTTTATAAACAAATATATCAATATATTTACGATTTATTTTTTTCCATGATTTCTTTGTTAGTAATTATAAGTTCTGAAAATTTTGGTAGTTCTATTATTTGGTCATGGAGTAATGATGATGATCGTTTTGGATTGTATATGTAAAAGCATTTACTTTATCTTCTTTTTATTTTGTAACTTAACATTGACCGAAAATAAACCGAGTTTCGGTAGATTAAACCGAAATCGAAATCGGGTTTCGCATGTCCAAACCAAACATGATGTGGCTGTTTAAACTCTATTATTGGCCAAATATATTTGGTGATGTGGACATGGTGAGAGTGCTTTATTTACCCCTTTTAATAGTGTATGATTCAACTTGATCATGTATATATTGATTTACTAGTTTTAAGAAGTTAACAAATAAATTCACCTACTCTTTAATCATTCCTTGAACGTGAAATTTTAAATTTACCAGTTTCAAACTTAAACATAGTGAGATACTTTCATTAGTTACATAGAGAGAGAGATCTCGATGTAATAATCTCTTGCTCAAGCTTTGTTCTCGAGCATATTACAAAGGTGAAAATACATTGGCTGATAAGGTTGCATGTTATGTTCAGAGTTTACCTTCTCCTATATTTTTTGTTGATTCCGTTCCATCGAATTGATTTTCGAATTTGAAATCTTCTTAGAAATTGAAAAAGAATTGAAGGAAAAGAAAACAAATTAAAGAGAAGAAAAGAACTTCAAATCAGTTTATTAGTTCATTTAATTCACAAATAGTTATTCATACAACAATTTTTTTTTTGTAAATTTGTGTTTTTCGTGCTAGCAGGTAGGTCCGGGTAATCGAGGGATCAATCGGGTTTCAGTTTGCATCCAATCAGTTTTTGGAGTTTTGGGTCTACGAAAATCAACTCCATTCGGATATTATAAAAATTCGGTTCGGTATTGGTTTGGATTTTGTAACTTTGGCTAAAACCGGTTGAACCCAAAATATTTACGGATTTAAATTATCGTTTATAGAATGAAAAATTTAAATTATATCCTATTTATTTACTTTATAGTCATAACATCATGTTAAAAGACATATATTATATTAAAATAAATAGAATAAAAGTATATTACATTGATAAATTTATAAATTTTATTTTCATAAGTATAAATGATTTATTTCAAATATAATATGATGACATAACAGTTTAAAATTAGAAAACTATATAATACATGTCTTAAAATTAACATATCTTAGACTTCTGTATATACAATAATATATTATCTGAAATGGATAAACATAAATATATTAGTAAAAGAAAATTCAATTTTGAAGGAAGGGTCAAAATTTATCATAAATTAAATACAAAATAATTTTCAAACATGTTTCTCATGAATATATTTATTTTCTTAATAGCTAAATGTAAATACAATAAGAGAAATATATAATAAAAAGTGAAAAATAAATATGGTTTTAAATAATTGATTAATATAACATGTAAATTATAAAATTATTATATTCGAAATCAGTACCATTAAAACAGAAACATTCTGTTTAATGAATTTTTATGTTTTCCAATTATACTCTTAATGATATGAATTTTTTTTTATTTTCATTAATGGCAATATGGTCTTTTGTTTTGGGCCTAAATTATATACTAATAGGTTTCACTAATGGGTTGATTTTCTTCCAAATTTTATAAAAAAATTATTGCAAAAATATATTTTCTTTGCGGGTTAGAGGGGTCAAGTTTTTGAGTCGAAAAATGATTCAATCCGTTGCGGGTCGGATGGGGCGGGTCGAACTGAACGATTGAAATTTTTTAACTAAATGATTTTATGAATTAATCACAAAACTAAAAAAAAATTGGACCATTTAATTGTTAAATATATAATATTTCCCAAATACACATTTCAGATACAATCATTGTTAACTTATTTAGAAACATAAAAAAGTTGTCTGAGACGTTATAAAATAAAAATTTCTTCATACCCGCATAATAAATTGATATTGATTCTGTGTCATTTTATATCAACAAAAATAGTATCTGCGCTTTTAAGCGTGGATCAAAATCTAGTAGTTATATAAACTTTTAAATATATGGTTAAGGTTAAATATATAGACCACTTATGTTATAAAATAAATATTTATGTATATAANAAATCTAGTCTTTGATTATTTTTTGTCTATCACAGCCTTTGTGTAGTTTTATTTCATGTAGCGGATCTCACTCCCCTGATGGAATCACAACATTACAGCCCAATCTACACTTTTAGTAACAATAAAAGATATATTGGGACAAAACTAGTGGCCTCAAATCAAATCATTTCCTAATATGGCCCAATTAGCCAAATTTTTTCTTTTTTTTTTATATTAAAGCCATTTAAAATCTTTATTAAATTCAGGATGCTGCTTTGGGAGTCCCGGCTGCTTTCTACTCGGATCTGCTCCCTCCGCGCCGTCTCTTTCCCTCCTCCTCCGCCGTCATGCAAACTCACAAAACCAAGGTCTGCATCGTCGGAAGCGGCCCCGCGGCACACACAGCAGCGATCTACGCCGCTAGAGCAGAGCTCAAGCCTCTCCTCTTCGAAGGAGCGATGGCTAACGACATCGCTCCGGGAGGTCAATTAACAACCACCGCCGACGTCGAGAACTTCCCTGGCTTCCCGGAAGGTATCCTCGGAATCGAAATCGTCGAGAAGTTTCGAAAACAATCGGAGCGATTCGGTACAAAGATCTTCACGGAGACGGTTAACAAAGTCGATCTCTCCTCGAAGCCGTTTAAGTTATTCACCGATTCGAGAACCGTACTCGCCGACGCCGTGATAATCTCCACGGGAGCTGTAGCGAGACGGTTAAGCTTCACTGGATCTGTTGAATTTTGGAATCGAGGGATCTCGGCAAGTGCTGTACGCGACGGAGCAGCTCCGATCTTCAGGAACAAGCCTCTGGTGGTTATCGGCGGGGGAGATTCGGCTATGGAAGGAGCGGATTTTCTGAGTAAGTATGGATCTACGGTTTATATAATCCACAGGAGAGATACGTTCAGAGCGTCTAAGATCATGCAGAAGAGAGTTTTATCAAACCCTAAGATTGAAGTGATTTTGAACGGTTCGGTGGTGGAAGCCTACGGAGATGAGGAGGGGAAAGGTGTTCTTGGAGGGTTGAAGGTTAAGAATGTTGTTACTGGTGCTGTCTCTGCTGTGAGGGTGGCTGGACTGTTCTTTGCTATTGGTCATGATCCAGCTACGAAGTTCTTGGAGGGGCAGCTTGAGCTTGATGATGATGGTTATGTTGTTACTAAGCCTGGTACTACGAAGACTAGTGTGGCTGGTGTGTTTGCTGCGGGAGATGTGCAAGATAAGAAGTATAGGCAGGCTATCACAGCTGCAGGAACTGGTTCGTTTTTTTTGCTTATCTTTGCACAGGGAGTTAGTGTTTTGAATCAAGAATCATAAAAGCAACATGATATGCTATGTGTGGTTGTTGCATCCTATCATAATGTGAGTATTTGGTAATTAGGTGTTTGAAAGTCATTATCTTTTTCTCTGATGGGCCCTGTCATGTTCTCGAAGTGACTTGTTTTGTGTATCATTAGATTCACTTTAACAGAGTAATCAATGCGTGATTTGTGTTTTCTATATAGTGGTCCTTTGTTGTGGCGGTATAAGCTTATCTATATCCGTTTGCATACACTGCAACTGATATGCTACGTGCGCTTGTTATATGATATGATAACGTTTTTAATGAGTATTTGTTAGTGAGGTGTTTGGTTAAGTGATAAATGTTTACCTGCTTAGTGTGATTGTTTGATTGATATGTTCAAAGGGAGTCTGGTTATTGAAAGTCATTAGTTTTTCTCTGATTGGCCCTGTCAGTGTTCTGAAAGTGACTTGTTTTGTGTATCATTTCAGTTAACAAAGCAGTCAAGGCATGATTTGTCTTTGATAAAGAGTGATCCTTTGTTGTGGCTTTTTGGCTGTACTAGCTTCTTTACTTTCATTCTTATACTCTATTGAAGAAACTGTAATGGTCATTGATTATTGGTGGGATGTCTTGAGAGCCTCCTGCAAGTTAAATTAGACTGTTTCAAGTATAATGTTCTCTTTCTAGAAAAAGAAGCAGACATAGTTAGCTATTTTCACTGCTGATGACTACGTTGAAATCAGATTGTTCTCGGGTGGTCTAAGATGATTGTGTGTCTCCGTCAAAACCCAATTTGCATACCTTTCTACAGAGTGATACTTTCAAGTGTAGCGTTTTTCATTTCCACTTTCACAAGAAACTCTGACCACAACTTATGGATGGTGCAGGGTGCATGGCCGCCTTGGATGCAGAGCATTACTTGCAGGAGATTGGATCTCAAGAGCTTAGAGTGATAAGAGAAGACGTCGGAGAAAGACCAATTATAAGTGCTCTCTCTCTCTCTCTCTTCACCCTTATTTACTGTGTCATTTGCAGAACCGTCAAAAAGCTAATATTGATGAAGGAGTTTGACTAAAGTTTTTATATGCGTTTGCAGTTAAATTTGGTCAAGTTGTAAGAGCAGATCCAGTCACGGTATTTAGAGAAAAACCCGAGAGTGAAAGGTAACAAAAATACATGAAAAAAACACTTAAATGAAAAGCTTGAGAACCAGTCCTCGTAAGAGATACTATGAAAAACCCTTGAGAACTTTAGCCAAATAACACGTGTCACTTTATAGATGACCAAAACTATTGTCATTAAAACAAAACCACCTACACCTTAAACCCTAATTATATGTTTATACGATATTAAACCTTTTTAAAAATAAATTATGAAATAAAATGATCTATCTAACAAGATTCTAATATGCGTAAATGACAATTATATATTAATATTAGTTTAAATTGAAATTATTGAAGTTTAATATATTAGGTTTTTAATTAATGTAATAGTACTAAAAACTAAAAAAATTTGTAACTAGAAAAAATATTATTAAGATTTGATTAAAATATAATTATGTGATATTATTTATTTTTCTATATATTGTATATAGACCCTATATTTTAGCTTATCAAATCTCATAACATTTTGTATCTCTTTCCTTTCCGTATGGATTCTAATAATTCATTCAATTTCCCTATGAAAGAAACACTGCAGATCTTTTTATACTATTTTACCTTCAGTCCAAATAAGTTCATCAGAACAATATCCAATATGATAATATGGGTGGAGAAGACAATGATCTAAAACCAAACTAAGAGCACAACCGATGATTGTAGGCAAACAAGAAATAAGTGGAGCCCAACTGAAGATGGTGTTCTTATTAGTGCGTGGTTAAATACAAACAAAGAGCCTAATGTGGGTAGTAATGAACCAAGAGCTGCTGCTTTTTGGAAAAGAATTGCTGCATATTATTCATTAAGTCCTGCAGTTGCAAGTCTAGCAAAACGAGAATGGAATCACTGTAAGCAAAGGTGGCAGAAAATAAATGATAGTGTTTGCAAGTTTGTTGGATACTATGATAATGCTTTGAGTCAAAGAAGTCGTGGCCAGTCGGAAGATGAAGTTCTCCAAGTTGCATACGATAACTACTTCAACTATTACAAATGTAGATTCACGCTTGAACATGCATGGAGGAAGCTCCGTCATGATCCAAAATGGCGTAGTTATTACATGTCTCAAAATTCCAAGACTAGTGGAAGTTCAAAACGACCAAAACTGAATGAAGTTGTCACAGTTTCTTCAAGCTCTAACACAGAAAGTAACGTAGAGGAACTAGCTGTGTCTCGTCCTGTGGCTGTGAAGTCACCAAAGCTTAAAGAGAAGATAGTTGTTACTGAAACAACAACGAATGAAGAAGAAAGGGAGTCCAACCCTCGATCAAAGCTCGAGAAGTTGTGGGCTCTAAATGAGAAAGACATAGTTGAGAGGAATAAGCTATCAAGGATAGAGCTGCTTAGAAGCCTTCTCGAAAAAACAGGAAAACTTTCAGAAAAAGAAGAAGCTTTGAAGAACAAACTCATCGATGAGATGCTCTAATCTTAAGCTTGTATCGTGCAACTTAATATATATATATTGTAAAAATATGCTTTAGCTAAGGTGATAAATTCACGTCCAAGACTTCCGTTCTCAAGGAGTGCTTTTGGCTTGGATGTAGGAGCTAGTGTAGATTAATCTAGTGATAGTTGTTTTTTGCATGCGTCACCTGTTGTTTGAATTTGCGATTCCCTCTTGTGGTGGTGGGCTATGTTTCTGAGGATTTTTAGGTGTTTTTCACCGGTTTTTGGATTTTACCCTTGTATGTTTATCAGATGTTAAGAAAAAACACTGTCTAGTGTTTGTCTGGGTTTTGTAAAGAGAAAGTATTAGAGAGATGGGATCTGATTTGGTTATATAGTGTTTTTGTTCGGTTATTGAGTGCAAATTCAATATTTGTCTTCCATCCAGTAAAGAAAAGAATGTACAAAATTTCAATATCTCTATAAAATGAATGGTACAACATTCTGGCTTGCAAGGAAATGTAACCCAATGTTTTAATATTCAATCAAAACGATTCTATCCTTGTTCTCGTCGATGTTCTCCAAAGCGTTGCATATATTAATAATAATTCGCAATATGAAAACTTTAATTTCTTTTATAGAAATATAAATATATGATTAAATTAAAAAAATGCAGTCGGTCAAAGTGAAAGGTAATAAATTCAAATAAATGTGGGCGAACTATTCAATTATTGTGGGAGATGTGTTGGACCCCAATGAGCCGTTTAAAATCATTATTAAGCAGAGCAGGCGGCTTCCTACTCGGATCTGCCCTCTCCAAGCCGTCTCTAGCCTCCTCTTATTCATCCTCCTCCTCCGCCGCCGTCATGGAAACTCACAAAACCAAGGTCTGCATCGTCGGAAGCGGTCCCGCGGCACACACAGCAGCGATCTACGCAGCTAGAGCGGAGCTCAAGCCTCTCCTCTTCGAAGGATGGATGGCTAACGACATCGCTCCGGGAGGCCAATTAACCACAACAACCGACGTCGAGAACTTCCCTGGCTTCCCGGAAGGCATCCTCGGCATCGACATCGTCGAGAAGTTCCGAAAACAATCTGAGCGATTCGGTACAAAGATCTTCACGGAGACGGTTAACAAAGTCGATTTCTCGTCCAAGCCGTTTAAGCTATTCACCGATTCGAGAACCGTACTCGCTGATGCCGTGATTATATCCACCGGAGCTGTAGCGAGACGGTTAAGCTTCACTGGATCTGGTGAAGGAGCTGGTGGTTTCTGGAACCGAGGGATCTCGGCGTGTGCTGTATGCGACGGAGCTGCTCCGATTTTTAGGAATAAACCTCTGGCGGTTATCGGCGGGGGAGATTCGGCTATGGAGGAAGCGAATTTTCTGACGAAGTATGGATCTAAGGTTTATATAATTCATAGGAGAGATGTGTTTAGAGCGTCTAAGATTATGCAGCAGAGAGCTTTGTCAAACCCTAAGATTGAGGTTATTTGGAACTCTTCTGTGGTTGAGGCTTTTGGAGATGAGAATGGGAAAGGAGTTCTTGGAGGTTTGAAGGTGAAGAATGTTGTTACTGGTGATGTGTCTGATTTGAAGGTTTCTGGATTGTTCTTTGCGATTGGTCATGAGCCAGCTACGAAGTTCTTGGAGGGGCAGCTTGAGCTTGATGAAGATGGTTATGTTGTTACTAAGCCTGGTACTACGAAGACGAGCGTGGTGGGTGTGTTTGCTGCGGGTGATGTGCAAGATAAGAAGTATAGGCAGGCTATCACTGCTGCAGGAACTGGTTCGTTCTTTGCTTCTCTTTGCACTACGAGTTAGGGTTTTGAAATCATTACTGAACTGTTTCGTAGAAGCAGCATCTGATAGGTTGTGTGTGCTTGTTATCTACTTAGCATAATGTATTTGGTAGTTAGGTGTTTGAAAGTCATTAGCTTCTTATGATAGGTTCTTTCATGTTCTCAAAGTAAATGTTTTGTATATCATTTGACTCACTTAACAGAGTAATCGATGCATGATTTGTGTTTGCTATATAGTAGTCCTTTGTTGTGGTGGTAAAAGCTTATCTACCTTCATGTTATACACTGTAATGGTCATTAATTGTTCCAAGCTGTGGTTTTTAATCTATCATAGAAGCATACATATATGATAGCATAATGTTTAAAGAAGTATTTGGTTGTTTAGGTGTTTGGTTAAGTGAACAACTGTTTATCTGCTTAATTTGTTTGATTGATCTGTTGAAAAGGAATCAGGGTTTTGAAAGTCATTAGCTTTTTATGATGGGTTGTTTCATGTTCTCAAACTGGCTTGTTTTGATTCACTTAAACATGTAGTCGAGGCTGATTTGTGTTTGCTATAGAGTGGTCCTTTGTTTTGTCTTTTTTGGCGGTAAAAGTTTTTCTATTTTCATTCACGTATATGTAATGGTCACTGATTCTTCTAAGGTAGGATGTATGGAGAGCCTGCTATTTAAATTAGACAGGATAGATATAATGTTCTCTTGATACAAGAAGAAGGATACATATTAACTAAGTTGAAATCAGATTGTTCTCGGCGAGTGTAGGATAATTGTGTGTTTCCGTTAAACCCAATTTGGATTACCTTTTTAGACAGTAATTACCTAAAAGTGTAATCTTTTTCCGTTTTCCTATTACATAAGCAACTCTGATCACAATTTATGGGATGAGTGCAGGGTGTATGGCGGCCTTGGATGCAGAGCATTACTTACAGGAGATTGGATCTCAGGAGGGTAAGAGTGATTAGAGAAGGAAGGACCCATTTATAAGTTGATTTCTCTTCCTTATTTGATGTGTCATTTGCAGAACTGTCAAAAAATAATATTGATGAGGGAGTTTGAGTAGAATTTTGTTATGTGCGTCTGCAGTTGAACTTTGTTAAGTTGTAACTCTTTAGTGGGTCCAATTTGCTCTTGATTTGTTCCTCAGGTGAGGAAACTTTTTATTTGATACGAGTATGAAATCTCAGTTTACATTGAACCGATTAGGATGGAGCAGGGCCGGCGTTTGGCAAAGCCGCATGAAACATTAGTCTTGGCCCCCAATTTTTTTTGAAAAATTTATATGTATACCGGACCTCAAAAAAAAGTTTTTAGGCTCCCAAATCCGTAGAAAATTTTTTTTTAGGTGAAATCGTTCAAAAATCGCCTTGGGTCCCATATTTCTCAGAGTCGGCACTGGGATGGAGTCTCTATAGCTCAATAAAACTAAATGGGTTTTCTAGATATATTAGTTACTTCTTCAGTATTAGTGGTGTTTAAAAAAAATGTTGCATTTTATTTGATGTTCTCACAATAGGATTTAATATCATTCAATTTTGTGATCAATTACAAAATATCATTTCTTTTAATTTTATTTATTGGTTAAACTGATTTTATCTCCTATATATTAAAAGAGAAACATTACAACATTTTTTTGTAACCACGTGTTATTATCACAATCATTCTTAAAATTGTTAGAAAAATATATTGGTCCATCTAAATATATAATAAGTTTTTTGTTAAACTAGTCATAAATTAATTCGTGACAAAAAAAAACATAAATTAATTATTAATATTGTTCATTGTTTTCTTAAATAAAAATAATAGAATTTTCAAATATGGTTAAAAGTATAAATGACAATTAATGTTTTTTCAACTATAAAGATTTGATAAAATTTAGTATATTCTCTATTATTTTTTAAAAAATTAACTTATTAAAAAATTAATAACTACATTAACTATATAATAAAATTCTAGATTTGTTTTGCATATATTATATATTAAATTTTTAAAAACGTCTAAAAATGACTAAATATGTTAAAATCTCACACTGAACTTTTCTGATCCATGGTTTAAAATTTATATTATAACGAAATATTAATGACTAAATTTTTTTTTATAAAAAATATAGATGATCAAAAGACAATTGTAGTATAAACTATAATTTAACAGATATCGATATTAAAAATATACTATATTTCTATGTTAATATCATTGAAACGTGATTGTATACCATAAAAATAGATAAAAAGTGTTGAATTAAAAAAAATTTATTTATGTGTTTACACCAATTTAATTAGATACGTAATAGTTACTGAATTTTTTCCAATATATATTTATTATTTCATAATATGTAAAAATAACATATAATACGTACAAATAATTTATAAATCATATTCATTACGCGCAAAACGCGGATCTTAACCTAGCTTAATGATATTTCATGTAATCAAGATAAATTGTATAAAAGTCCGTATTTTTTTCAATTCATGTGTAAGAACATTAAACTGCCATTTATATTGAAACATAGGGAGTAATTCTTAGTTTTATAACTGTTCCATTCAAATAAAATCTTTTTTATCCAGTCTATTTTATAAGAAAGTTACTAGATTTTGATCCTCCAAGCGCTAAATTTTTTTTTATAATTAAAAATTTATATAATTAGTTTTTGTCTTTATTTAAAATATATTTTGGTATAAAATCAATAATACAAGATTTGTGGTGATGATTTTGCATTAATTTTTGGTTTTAGTTTTTCAATTTTAGATTTGGTTTTAGATTTTGGTTTTTGGTTTTTAGTTTTTAGTTTTAAGTTTCTATTTTTGATTTTCAGTTTTTGGTTTTGGTTTTTAGTTTTTAGATCCGCTGATTTAGTTTAAATTGATATTACCAACAAAGAAATACCAAATAATTGAACATCTAATTTAAAATTAAAAAAAACAATTTTTTTTAAAAAAAAATTGTAATCGTTTATTTTGTAAATAAACAAAAGCAAAAATATGATCCGCGTTTTCAGCTTTTGGTTTTGATTTTTAGTTTCTAAATTTGGTTTTTGTTTTTTTTTGTAAATTAGTAAATTATTTAAAAAAATAAAACAATAATTTTTTTAAAGTTACCATTGAAATTTATCAAAACAGAGTGATTTTTATCTTAAAAAGTAAATACATTAACATGTTTTAAAGTACATGATTTAAATAAGTGATTAATAATGAAAAATTTTGTTTTGTTAAAAATATTAAACACTTTTAGTCCTGAAAATAGTAATTGATTTTTTGATCAATTAAGATGAATAGTTTATTCAATATTTTTTTGGAGTTTCCACTTAATACTAAACCCAAAAACCAAACCATATAATTTGTCCTTAAAATAAAAACAAGCCCAAGATTCTATCTATAGATAACCTCGGATTTTTTTTAATTTAGTTTACATATATTAATCGTGTTGATTTAATTTAAGTAATACAATTCAATCAACTACATATCATGTATTATTTGTAATATTATAAAATTCGTCCAAATTTAAATGACAACTTGTATCAGTAGATAAAAAGAACATATGTTTACAATGTTTTTCTCATAAAAGCTCAATTTCTTCTCATAATTTCAGTTGTCATAATATTATTACATCAGCTCATATTATCGACCACGTAAGACTCACTGAACCTAAAAATATCCGGTTAATTCGTAGTTCGATATAGTTCTCAGTTGAATATGGTATAGTAACTTCCACAAATTAAATTAAATGAGTTACAAAACTGCACTAACATTTATTTTGTTAATTGTTCGTCAACATTAACTGTTTATATTTCTTATTTATGAGATTTAACGTTTTAAATGATCAAAGATTATATAAACATATACGTGTAAAGTGGTTCTAATTAATCTCAAAATAAATATAACTTACGTTGTACAACAAAGTAATTAATAAGTACTAACATAAGTTTTAAACTCTACGTTAGTTGTGTCTTCCTTCTCTCTCTCGACCTCTCCTTTCACTCATGATCACAACATCCCAGAGTCAGAGATATTTGTTACGGTTTCTTGTGCTCCACGGTGGAGCTACGGCCGCGGCCGGAGCTCCCTTCAGCGAGAAAACGCTCTCTCAGACACCCACTTGGGCCGTCGCCGTTGTCTGCACATTTCTCATCCTCATTTCCCATCTCCTCGAAAAGGGTCTTCAAAGACTCGGCAATGTCCGCTTTAATTCTTCTTCTTAAGTGTTTTTGTCCTAACATTCAATGTCTGAACCATCTTCATTTTTTTCTTTGCAGTGGTTATGGAAAAAGCAAAAAAACTCTCTGCTTGAAGCCTTAGAGAAAATCAAAGCTGGTAAATATTGGTTGCTATTGTGTTGATTTTTTTTTCAAGAAACTAAAAAAGTGGTGATTAATGCAGAGCTGATGATTCTTGGATTCATTTCCTTATTACTCACCTTTGGAGAAACATACATTCTCAAGATCTGTGTGCCTTCAAAAGCTGCTCTCTCTATGTTACCATGTCCATCTGAAAACACGAATACTTTGGCTCCATCCCTTAGCAGACATCTTTTGGCTGCTGGTGATTTATCTGTTAATTGCAAAAATGGATCTGAGCCACTCATAAATGTGAAAGGCTTGCACCAACTTCACATCTTGTTGTTCTTCTTGGCCATCTTTCATGTCCTCTATAGTTTAATCACCATGATGCTTAGTAGGCTTAAGGTATGAAGATTCTAGTTTTGATCAAATGTTTGATGGAGTTTAATAATGATGTTTCATTTTGTCTTGGCTATGTTGTAGATACGTGGATGGAAAAAGTGGGAGGAAGAGACATTATCTCATGATTATGAGTTTTCTATTGGTAAGTTCTGTTCAAATCCCTGACATTTGTCTTTTTTTTTTATGTTTTTAATACTTTCTTTGGCTGTGGAGCAGATCAAACAAGACTTAGGCTCACTCATGAGACTTCTTTTGTGAAATTGCATACAAGTTTCTGGACAGCAATTCCTTTCTTCTTTTACGCCGTAAAGAAACCATTTCTACTTTCTCTTCCAATTGCATCAAACGTGTTCTTGATTTAGATTTTGAATATTTTGAGCTCTCTGCAGGGGTGCTTCTTGAGGCAGTTCTTTGTATCTGTGGGAAGAATTGATTATTTGACTCTTCGCTACGGATTCATCTCTGTGAGTTTAAAAAAATTCGTCCACCTTCCCCTTTTCTTTATTTTGCAATCTTTTGATGTGTGAATCTTGTGGTCTGCAGACTCATTTAGCTCCGGGAATAAAGTTCAACTTCCAGAGATATATCAAAAGATCTCTCGAGGATGATTTCAAGTTAATAGTTGGAATAAGGTATACCACAATCCATAAACATAATATGCAAATAGAATCATTTGGTTGGTCTTATACAACATTTTTTGTTTTGCTCCGCAGTCCAGTTCTTTGGGCATCATTTGTGATATTCTTTCTGTTTAATGTTAATGGTGAGTTACACATCTGTCTTTATATTTTCAAATTCATTTCATGTACTGAAATGTATCTATTTAATTTCCAGGATGGAGAACATTGTTTTGGGCATCAATTCCTCCTGTGCTAGTAAGACTATTCCTCTCTCTCTACTTATGCTAAACCTGCTATGACGTTCTTTTGTCTCAATTTAAAGTCTTGTAACAGATAATTTTAGCTGTTGGAACAAAGCTTCAAGCGATTTTGGCAACAATGGCGCTAGAAATAGTAGAGACACATGTAGTAGTACAAGGGATGCCTCTAGTACAAGGTTCAGATAAATACTTTTGGTTGGATTGCCCTCAACTGCTTCTTCATCTTATTCACTTTGCCTTGTTTCAGGTAATAACACTATGAAAACCATGTCTTGAGCTTCTTTGTTCTTCTTTTATATTCATGTATAATTAACGTATATTTTCTGTGTTCTGCAGAATGCTTTCCAGATAACACACTTCTTCTGGATATGGGTAAAAAAAACAAGAAGCACTTCCTTTTAATTTAAATATTATGGAATTATATTACTGAATAACATATATATAATATAAACCTTGGGGCTTGCAGTATTCTTTTGGATTAAAATCATGCTTCCATAAAGATTTCAACCTTGTAGTCATAAAACTCTTTCTATGGTAAAACACTTATTCAAACCCTTAATTATGTTTCTTACAATAGAAATCTTTTATTTGAAAACATGTGACGATGTATGTATATGCAGCCTAGGAGGTTTGATCTTATGCAGCTACATCACTCTCCCGTTGTATGCTCTGGTGACTCAGGTAATTTATAAACAACTTTTTTTTTTGATATTCTAGTCATGTGACCTCTTAATAAGAGTAGTCTTGAATGTTGAAACGATGAAATGATAAAATGTTGTGTTGATGTGTGAGCAGATGGGTTCACACATGAAGAAAGCAGCGTTTGATGAACAAATGGCAACGGCATTGAAGAAGTGGCACAAAAAAATTAAAATAAAGAAAGGAAATGCAAGGAAGCTCCCGAGCAAAACACTTGGTGGTTCGGGGAGTTTCAACATCTCTCCCTCTTCCTCTGGAACCACTCTACATCGTTCCAAAACTACTGGTCACTCTTCTAACGCCATATACTACAAACAAGAAGAAGAACACGACGAGATGTCTGATCTTGAAGCTGGTGCAGAGGATGCCACTGAAAGGTTTCAAGAACAGCATAAGCCATTCCACCACTCCTAGTTGTTTTCTGTTTTTAGTGTATTCTTATTACTTAAAGATTGAGATGAACAATTGTAGGAATTTATATCATTTTATAACGTTTTACAAATCTGCATATGAATTCGGTTCTCGTTAATCTCATGCAAATATTGAAACAAATTAAGATTTAAGATTTTCAAATATACATAAATATCTGTAGAGAAATAATGAACAAACTCAAACCGAGGTCTTAGCTTTCTCAACGTTGTGTCTCTATTGGAATTCAAACACACACAAAGATCGGTATGGGATGTTAGTGCCAATGTGCCATCGAGATCAAATCTCAAAAATCTGACAAACGGTTTGTCTCTTTGGATTTGGTTTAAAGTTGGAAGAAATAAATTCCGGTGATAAAGGAATATCATGACATATTCATTCCTGCAGAAGGATTACCTCCACCATGGAATGATCCATTTACTATCAACCTTGAGGCAGGCGCAGCTCTGATAGCAAAAACATCATATCGTATGGCTCCGGCCGAGCTAGCCGAATTGAAGAAACATGGGAAACTCTAGTCCTGTTTGTGAAGAAGAAATATAGAAGTATGTAGTAACTGGTAATGCACATATTAGTGGGGCATTAATAATGTCACCATAAAAGACAAGTACCCCTTGCCAAAGATCAAAGAGTTACATGATCAGCTGCATGGGGGTAGTTGGTTTCCGAAGCGGACATCATGAAGATCGCTTTTCGAACATGATATGACTATTATGAATTTGTGGATGCTGTCTGGTTTTACAAATATGCCGGCTGCTTATATTGGATTGATAAAGGATTTATTAGTGATTACTTGGATAAATTTATAATCATCTTCATCAATAATATACTTATTTATTTCAAGAGTAAGAAGGAACATGCAGAGCACGCCTATAAGTTAATGGAGCGATTGAGAAGCTAGAAGTTGTCCACCAATTTTAGTAAATGTAGCTTCTGAAGAAGGAGATCGGATTCCTTGGTCATTGAATGACAATCATATCTAAAACATATCGCTTGGATTAAACCACCAATTTTAGATACAAAATCAACTTAAATATGATTGTCAAATGAATATATATAGTTTATATTTTCTCATTGAGTTGTTAAAATCGTTTGGATTAGATTGGCACCTCAAAGAATATTCTAAACATAAATTAGTTTTGATTACGATTTTTTACACATATTTAAAAAGATTTTTTGTAATATGCTTTGAGATTTTAAAATAAGAGGACATCTAATATTCACATCAAATTTTCAAATGATTAGTTTAATGATGGTTATGGTCTGATTAAAAATTGTCAAATTGTATTTACCAATGGATTATATTGAATTTTAGTAATTTAAACAACGAACTATTATTCTATTATTTAATTTTGAGCTGGTTTGGATAAGTAAATTAAAATATAACTTTTTATGAAAAGATTTAGAGATCTTAAAATCAAATAAAATATTTGAAAAGTCTTGATCCTCTCCAATTCTGATGCAAATCATGTAATTATATTTTAAGAGAATAGATACACACATTAAAATAGTGGCTAACTATTAGGGTAAGAGGTTTCACATGTACAACCGTTATCTTTTGCCCCAATTTTTTTTTTGGCTTTTTGTTTAACACCACTTGTGCTCGTAATTAATAATCATTGGTTCTTAATTAATGATTTGGTTAGTTTACATTACTTCGTACAAGTTTATACACTTGACTACTAGGAAACAAGGCTTCTCCTTCCTTTCTCAATGCTGTTAACTTTTATATGATCCCTTAAACACTCCTTACCATTGGTAATTTAGTAATTTTCACTAACTAATTATTAAATTGTTTTTGTTTCAAAAAAGAAAACAAATGGTAATAAACGAATTTTGGAACAGTAGTAAATATCTAAACTATTAAAACTGAAGTACATTTTGTACTTAGTCCTAAGTTTTCCACAATAATTACAAGTGAATGCCATTGGATTAATATTAAATATTAAAAAAATAAACATCATTTATTGTCTTATTAAAAATAATTAATTCAACGATATTTCCCTACATATGCTTTTTTGATTTCTCACTCTAACTTTTATCTAACAACTAATGAAGATAACTTTACCATCAAAGTGCAACATTAAAAGACATAGCTTGATCACGTTTTTCCATAACAATTCCTCATAATTCAAGATTAATCCAGTTTGACCATCAAAGTGCAGCAACAAACACCTTACTTGATCAATCTTCTTTCGATTTCTCACTCAACCTCTACCCAAAAACACTACTCTGTTTCATTACCTGCAACAACAAAAGACAGAGCTTGATCAAGAGTTCCATAGAAGAACCTCACAAAATTCAAGATTAATACAATCTGATCATCAAAGTGCAGAAAGAAACACATTGTTTGATTAAGCTTCAATAATCGAGTACTAATTATTAATTCAGTTTTGTATATAGTTTTCAGAATTCAAAAGATGTTTATACACATTTTTCTAAGTTCTGTTTTAGGCAAATTTAATATCGATGAAGAACACCTCCAGTGCTGATTATTAATCCATATTTATATATAGCTTTCAGTGTTTAATAGATGTTTAGACACAATTTAATTGCATTCTTGATTAAACCAGAATTAGAAGACTATGTTTTCGTTTTCTTTTATCAGTCTATATATATTTCGTGATTATGTATATAGCCGGTTTCATTATATTATCTCTTTCAGTATACCATCATCTTTGAATTCTACATTGAGTTTAAAATATTATTATATTAGTTGACAAAATCTAAACTTAACAAATCCTAATTTACAAACGTATCTCCCACATATCACGCATTCCTAATAACTATATTGCCGTATTTATACAATACATAACTTATTCCTAAAAAATATTTAACTAACAAAACCAATGAATTTATTAAAGTTCTATGGTATTCACTCATATTTTCACCTTCCTTATCCAAGAAATTCTATTAATATTTCAAATAATTTTGGAGTATAAAAAGGGAATATTTTCATATATATTAACTAATTTACATATCTATGCTTAGAATGTAGATCTTTACCGTGATTTACTCCACAAAAATGATAAAATTCTATACTAATCCCTATATGTGTATTGTTCTCAGTGACCCACCGATAAATGATCGTTCTACTCCAGCATGTACCTTTGTATGGCAAAAAAAACAACGACATTTGATTATTCCTATATTCAGTCTAACTAATGCACTAAACCTACATCAAAGGCCAAGCGAGACTACTCTTTTCACATATGTTGCAAATACAGAACCATATAATTCTCTAAGAGAAATGAGAGTATAAGCTTAAGCACAGATTATAAGACTTAAGCACGACCAACAAGTGAAAAGCTGTCGGTGGAGAGAAGCTGAAACACTTTGTAGCTGAGAGAAGATGAAACACAAACCTACTGATTTTTGTCTATCATTTTTTGTAAACAAATAATTAGTTTTTTACATCATTTCTTGAGTTTCCCGGAATAATTTGTTTGACTCTTTTGTGGACCTGCTCCATAAAAAGATAATTAAAACCTAATTTCCATATATTGCAATGAAAATAATATTTTACATAGTGGATGAAAGGACCCATTTTTATTAGTTTAAAAAATAAATATTGTGAAAAAACCTTTGTTACTTACAAAATAGCGTTTGAACATAATTTCTTGCTATTTATATTAACCTTTTGGAAAGATTTTTTTTTTTTAACATATTCTCCGTTTCAAAAAAAAACATTGTAAAAAAAATATTTGTTTCAAAATGATCTATTTTTTTTACATTTTCAATGTATGACTTAATGATAAAAGGTAGATTCCAAAAAAATTAATTGTGTTTCTTAAAATTTTATTGGTTAAAAAATATAGGAGATTGTTATCTACAAAAAAAATTATGCATTGGTAATCAAAATTTTATATGTTTTTTCTTATTATGTGTAAAAAAGCTAAAACATTCTACTTTTTGAAAAAAGGAGTAGAAATTACTTATTTGCAAGCTGAGCACAAGATTTAACTTATTTTAAACTGAACACAAAATAAACGAATATATTATAATACATTTAATTCATTCAATAAAACTTGAAAATTTTGAACTGTAATTTGACCAGACAATATACTTATTAATCAATACAATTTTTTTAATAATTACATAACTGATCCTAGATACATCCAATTAGAAAAATACAAAAGTAAATCCAGTAATGTGATACATGGGCTTAACAATAAAATAAAATCAAATGTAACTAGGGGTGTTCATTCCGGTAAAACCGAACCGAAGTAAAGAAAATGGTTTCGATTTGGTAGTATCTAATAAACCGAATGGATATTATTTTTTAGAAATAGTAAATATATGGATATGGTTTAGTATATAAACCGATTAAACCGAATAAACCGATTAGTTACAAAATTAGTATACATATATATAAATTTAATAATAATGTTAATAATATATACATAATCTATTTTATTAATATAATAATAAAAACATTGATTTTAATAATTTTTATTTGTTTGAAGTTAAAATGGTTATTTTGTTTTTCTTTTTTTTCTAATTAAATAAAACATATTTTTTTTATTGATAACTCATTGTGCTAAAATATAATTATATAATAATATTATCATATTATTCTTTACTATTATTGAATATTTAAATAAAACAGAAAAATATATTTAATAGTTAAACTTAGGAATGTATATTTATGTTTTAATAAATTTGTTTTCTATTCATATAATCTAAAATTTGTAATAAAGATACATATAGTTATAATTTTTTTGGTATAAAACCGAAAAACCAAAAATTGATGGTATATAAACCAAATCAAATCAAATTAGGTATTGTTCCAATATGGTAACTAACTTTCAAAAATCAAAAAAAAAAAAAAAAAAAAAAAAACTGAAAACACCAAACCAAAACCGTACCAATGTCCGGACTGAATATGTTCTCCAAATCATTGTGTGTGAAAGGTTTATATTGATATTGTAGAACAATCACCCGCGCGGGCGCGCGGGTCAAAATCTAGTATACATTATGAGATA